AGACACTCCTTTATTTTTTTATTTTTCATACTTTATTTTAATGATGTGGGGTACAATTCAGAATTAGGTATACAAGCAGACACCGTACAATAATGTTTGTCCTCCCTGTGGGACCCACTATGCCTGGTTTGAGATCAGGTACCCGTATAGATGATGTGTCCTCCCCACCCCCGCTCCAGCCGTATCCTGCCTCTGCCAATCCCCTTCTAATAGTCTTGTGGTAAATGTTCACGGTTCACTTATAAATGTGAACATGTGGTACTCTGTTCTTTGAATGAGATATCCACTTAATATAAGTATAAAGAAAAATTTTAACAAAGATATTAAAACATATACCATGCAACACAAACTCATGAAACTGCTGTAGTTGATTTCCTGTCATAATGTAAAAGAAAAGCATGATTGGAAATGAAGAAGCATGCGTCTTAAATATACATTTATTACTTTGTTGATAGTAATAGTTTACAGGGTAACACAAGTTCAATATAGAATTGAAAGAAATAAGTAGGTCAAAAAAGCAGGGATTTAACACTTGCACAGTTTATAACACAGATATTGCAGTGAACCTCTAGAAGATTTAAACTATACAATTAAACACATATATAAACACACATATATACTCTATACATACAGAATATTTATATTTTTAAGTTCACATAAATGTTCCAAAAATACACTATAATCTCATACTATCAAGCATATTAATACAAAAATATGGTGCTGTGCTTTCAATACCATAGCACTAGCAGCCAGTCTTTACTAGCAGACACTTAATACGCATCTACTCAAATTTAATATTCATCAATTAAAAATGAGTCACTTTTATTTTCTCAGTCACAATACTCACTGTTAAAACAAGACACAGAACACTTCCTACTTCACAGAAAATCTGACAACAGTGTATTTAAAATAGAAGTCAATAATCCAAAGTTTGAAATCCCATATAACTTTTAATTTAGTAATATATTTATAAATATTGTAAAGACAAAAAATACCAAATGAATATTAAAAATTATATATGAATCACAAGGAAAATAAATTCTTTCTTGTGAAAATCTTATTGTCAAATGTATACACTACGAAAAAAAGAACATATTTTGAAATATCTGAAAATTCATCAAGGAAATTTAAAACAGGAAATTTGACATTTACTGACATTAAATACAAGAAAAGTAGTAGAAGGAAAACAATAAATAGTACAAAATCATGATGTAGAGCAAAATTACAGTGGAAATGTATGAGTCAAAAATATTTCATTTAAAAAGCTGTAAAAATATCATAACAGAATATTAAAGAAAATTCAGAAAAGGCATAGATATTTTATTTCTGGATTAAACATGAGAAATCATTACAGTTTTTGTAGATATGAAATTGATAACTAAACTATATTCTGTATACATATTAATATCCATATTAAATTTGTTTCTAAAACATACAAATTATCAAAATGCAACACAACAAACAGAAACTTAGTGTACCTGAATATTTTAAAGAAATTGAGTTTGTTATAAATCTTTTCTACAAAAACTATTAAAGAAACTCAGAAGGCATAACTACTGAATACCATTTAAAAATGAAACAACACTCTTAAACAAAGGCTTCTAGGTACAGAAAAAGAGGAATGCTTCTCAATGCAGCCCTGATAGCAAAAGAGTTAAATAAAAACAGTCAAATTATTCTGAAACATGGATAAAGAAACAAATCTTATTTTAATTATTTTAACTGATTTATTTTAAAGGGGTAATACACTATAACAAGTCTGTCTTCATTTTTAAAATGAAAGAATGGAATAACATTTGGAAAGAAATAGGCCTGTGTGGTGACTCATGCCTATAATTCTAATAGTTTGGGAGGTCAAAGCAGGAGGACTGGTTGAAAACCAAAGATATTTTAATGATATTTGTATTTCATGAGTTTATTCATTTTGTGATCAACCTGCACAATTAAGCCGAATTATTATAATATTTTAAAAATAGATTATATGGTATGCTAATACAAGTTCAACATAGAATTGAAAGAAGCACCTGAACAAGTCCTCAAAAACAGGGATTTCACACTTTTCTCTTGCTGCTTATAATACAGACATTGAAGTGAGCCTAGAGAAGACTTAAGGTAAACAATTAATCAACACACATACACTCTCTATGCAAATATCAAAAATTTATATTTTCAAGTTTATATAAAAATGTTCCAAAAGTACACTATGATAAAATCTTGCCAAGCATTTTAATATAAAAATACAGTGCTGTATTTTTAAGGCAGAACCATGACAGCCAAGATTTACCTGTTGATACTTGAATACAGTTACTCAAATTTAACATTAATTAACTAAAAATTAGTAACTTTTAAATCACTTCTTCAGTCACAATAGTTACATTTAGACACAGACATAGAACACTTCCCACTTCACAGAAAACCTTCTGATTATAAGTTATTTAAAATACAAGTAATTGACCAAATATTTGAAAATCCGAATGGTTAATAATTCAGTAATATATTTATAAATAACTTAAGGGGTATCACAATGAATATTCAAAATAATATAAATTCCCATGAAAATAAAGCCTTTCTTGTGAAAAACAGATTTTCTTAAATGTATACACAACAGAAGACCAAAGCAGAAATTGAATTATCTGAGAATTCATCAAGGAAAATTAAAATGGGAAATTTGATACTTACTGCCCGTAAATACAAGCAATTTAGTAGAAGGGAAAAAATAAAAAGTTCAAAATTATGACCTTAAACACAATTACAGTAGGGATGTACAACAAGCAAAAGTATTTTTATTGAAAAAAAAATAAAATTGTGATGAAAGAATATTGACGAAAACAATCAGATAAGGCACAGATTTTTGTTTCTGAATTAAACAGCAGAAATCGTTATGGGTTTATAGATATCAATCATTATTGATATTTAACTATATTCGGTATACATTTTAACATTCATATAGAATTTAATCTAGAAAATAAAAATCATCAAAATGCAGTACCACAAACAGAAACTTAGTACAGGCTTCATGTATTAAAGAGATTGACTGTGTTATGAAAACTTTTCTACAAAAATATTACAGGAACTCTAACGTCATTAACACTGAATAAGAATTTTATAAATGAAACTGTACTAAAAAAAAAAGTGCTTCTGGGTACAGAAAAAAGAGGACTGCCTTTCAATACAGGCTTGATAGCCAAAGTGCTGAATAAAAGCAGTCAAACTTTCCTGTGAACATGGATAAAGAAACAAATACTACCTTGAGCCGGGCTCGGTGGCTCAGCCTGTAATCCCGCGCCTTTGAGAGGCTGAGGTGAGTGGATTGCCTGAGCGCTTGGGTTCGAGACCCGCCTGGGCAGCGAGACCTCATCTGTACAATAAATCAAAAAATCAGCCGGGCGTGGAAGCACATACCTGTAATTCCGGCTACTTGGAAGGCTGAGGCGGAAGGATCACCGGAGCCCAGCAGGTCGAGGCTGCGGTGGCCGGGAGCAGCCACTGCACTCCAGTCTGGGTGACAGAGTGAGACTCCAACTCAAAAAATAAAAAAAAATTAAAAAAAAAGATTAGGGAGGCACATCTCACATATTCATGTAAAACCCAATTATCCCATTTATAAACCACAAAAAGTGAGCATTTATTTTTTATTTGAGGTGTCATGTGCATAATATAAATTTCATCCACTTAAAAATTTTAATATATTAATAGAGCTACAACAAAGACCACTATCAAAAAGAAACACTGTAGCTATGGCAGTCACTTTCTAATTCACCTTAAGCCCTTGGCCACCGCTGTTTTATTTTCTGTCTGTATGGATTTGCCTATTCTTGATATTTCACACAAACAGACTCACATAATATGTAACTTTTAGAAAGGTTTAATGACATAAATCAAATGTCCAGGAAAATGAGTCAGGTACAACAGCAGTGATATCTGCCCTTGGTGGTGTGTATATTATTCATTGTAACTCATTTTGAAATATATTTTCATTGCTGAAACAAACAACATAATTCATTTTCAGATTTATGTGATCAAAATTAATTTCATTTAATAAAATATAAAATTGCCTGCTAGACTCCAAACTCAGGGGTTTGAATTCTGAAACATATGCTTACAAATATATAGTTGTGCAACTTCACATTTGTCTGCCTCAAGTAGTTGTGAGTTTATCTTTACACAGTTGCGTTGAGCAAAATATTCTGTTATCCTGTAGTGAAGAAGAAGCCACAATACATTTTATTTTGGGGCAACAATGTGTGAAATAAGAAATTATCCATGTATTTGAAGAAAATAATACCCTGAAAGGAGCTTAGAACATTTATCATGTTATAATAGTCGGTTATTAAGTAAAACTTAAGTCCCCCCTACTTTGAGGGAGACATTAACTCCAGTGGATTCCTGAAACCATGAATAGTGCCAATTCTCATATGAGTAAATACTATGTTTTTTCTCTACATAGATACCTGTAAATTAGGGACAAGAGAGTATCAATTCCCAATAATTTTACATAATAATTATAGCAATACGCTTACATCACTACTCTTGCATTTGAGGCCCTTATTAAGGAAAGTAAGCACTTTTTAAGTTTCACAGCACTATGAAGACAATGGATCTGATAACTAGATGACTATAAGTGACGGACACCAATTACTATACACAGTATGGATACTCCAGACAAAATAATGATTCATGTTTCAGGTGGGAAAGACCAATACTGCCAAAGATTTGATCAGGCTACTCAGAGCAGTTCACATTTAAAACTCATGAATTGATTTTTTCTGAAATTTTCTACTAATACTTTTGGCATAGGTTGATCCTGAGCAATGAAAACACAGAGAGTGAAATTTTGGTTTAGGGGTGTACTGTAGCAAATTATGTAATTTTATTTCAACATTGTACTAGCTTTGAAAACATTTCCTCATGTCTAAAAATCAACATAAGCTTATTCTTATTATTCTTTGAATTTCTCCCTTTTATACATTTTTTCTCTTTATAGCACTGTTTCAAAAAACTTACTTATGTTTGAATGTTGAGCCTTTTATTGACACCCATGGATGATCACTGCTGTTACGGGAGACTCCAATCCATGCTTCATGTACGAGAGAGGCCAGAAATTTCTAACAGAAAATAAAAAATTTTCATGTAAGTAACCATTATGATAGATTGTATTTACTTTAAAGTACAAATAGTGTATTTTCATAAAATCCTTAATTTTTTAAACAATATACAAAACTTAAAAAAATTTCTGTGGTGTCTACATTTTTTATGTAAATTCAAGGTATTCAAGCATGATTTTGTTACATGTATATATTGCCTTGTAGTGAAATTCAGGGTTGAATTAAAAACATCATCTGAAAGATGCACATTGCACTCATTAAATAATTTCTCATCCATCATCCAAGGTCTGTATTTCACTCTTTACGTCCATTTGTACCCACTGTTTATCTTACACTTACATGTGAAAAAAATGTGATATATGATTTTCTTTTTCTTATTTATTTCACTTATAATGATAGCCTCCAGTTCTATTCCTGTTTCTGCAAAAGTCATGATTTGCTTTGTATGTGTTTTTGTGTATGTGTGTATGTATATATATAAACAGACATACATTTGGTATATGTGCAAATATATATGCATAATACATTTTTATTCAAACATTTTTACTCAAGCATTTGTTAATGGACACTTAGATTGCTTCCATATCTCTGATGTTGTGCATAATGCAGCAGAAAATGTAAAAGTGAGTGTTTCTTTTTTGATATAATTTGTTTTCATTTGTGTAGATACCCAGGAGTGTGATTGCTGGATTAAATGACAGTACTGCTTTTATTTTTGAAAAATGTCCAAACTGTTTCCCATAGATATTGTACTAATTTACATTTCTAGCAACAGCGTATAATGTTCTGTTTTCTCCACATGCTTGTAATCATCTGTTTTTTCCCCCTTTATTGATAGTCATTTTTACTGGCATAAGTTGGCATCTTATTGTAGTTTTCATTTACATTTATTTGATAATTAGTAATTTTGAGTATTTTATATGCTTGTTGGCCATTTTTACATTCACTTTTGAATAATGTTTGAAACGGAATGCTGAAATTCTTTGAATCTGAGGCCCAGGGCTCAACAGAGTGGCTGGATATCTTCAAAATCTCCACCAACAGAGAAATTGAAGTGTCTGCTGTTCCCGAGCACCTGACTTAGCAATATTTGTAATATTAAAACACTGGCCAATGGTTTTTGGGAAGAGGTAGCAGTGATGAGCACATATACAAGAGCAGGGCTGGTACTGAAAACTTCTGTTTTATGATATTTGTATTTCAGGATTCTAATCATTTTTGATCAACCTGCAAAATTAAGATATACTTTGTTTTCTTCATATATAGTAAAATTAAATAGTAAGATGTGTTTTGGAATTAAAGCATGAATGAAAGCATGATTTTATTAAAAAGTAATGAAATGTGCATTAGCAGAAGGTGAATACAAATAAACTATTTTAAAATCAAGCAATATAATCTGCTTAGTTGAAAATAATTCAACAAAATATGTACAAGAAAATAGATTCCTCAAATGTTTTACTGGCTGAAATAAGCTTTTAATAAGGTATTCAAAACATTAAAAGCCGTACCATTTCTTCATCATCTGTATAAAGCAGACTGGAGTTCATAGAAGCACATGCCATCATACTCTCATCCCAAGTTTTTGTTTTCTTTCCCATGTAATAACAGCTGTTGGAATATGTAAACCATTCCTCTGGACAACTGCAATTATATGCTGAGGAAACATTGTAAATTACCCAGAAACAATATGAATAGTGTAAAATGACACAGTGTAAATTTACAAAAGTATGTCATGTATGTACATAACATATCTAGGTATTCTCACAGGATGAAACATATGATTAAAAAGTCACTGACTCACACACGTACACATTGTAAAGCAGCAGCCTTTCATCCCCTAATTGTGTTCACACATGAAACAAGCCAGCAGACTAACGGTCACAATACACACATTTTTAGATCACTGAACAGGCATACATTTTTATAACAGTAAAATTGTTTATCTCATGATTTCATAGTAATAGGAAATTGCAACAAATACAAAAAGGGTATAGTGTTTATGAATTAGTATTTATATCCATTGCTAAAGAAAAGAAAATAAGCTCCTATATTCTTTATTTACAGACATCTATTGCTAAATTTTATAATTTTTCTCCTGAATATATCTCTGGTTATTTTTTTCATTTCAAAAGAACAACACAAAATTAAAACTCTGTTATTATCAGAACTTTGGAAATCATTACATACCATTCTGGTTGTTTTCATTTTGGAAAGAATTGGTCTGCTCCTGTGTTTCTGTAGCTAGAAAATTTAAAATAATCTTTTGCGAAATTAGTATATGAATAAGTCATAATAATGTTAGTTCTTTGAAATTTGGAATATTGTTCAGATATAGAAAACTATAGAACTGTATGACAAAAATTTATAAAGTAATTAAGATTTTGAAAAAATACTTTAATAGTGCAAAGAACCAGAATTCAGTATCTCATACAGTACTCTATTTAGCCAACTTTCAAAAATTAATTTCTATTTCTCAGCAAGGTATTTCAATTTGTAAAACACCTTTTTGGAGTTTGAAATCAGAATATATACATCTAATTTAAAACAAATACTTTTTCATAATTACTCTTTCATTATACTTTTTACAAATTCAGAACAATCATTCCACATTTAGTTCAAAACAAATGTAAAAATGAGAATTCTATTCCTCAATATTGCAAAATATTTAGAGGCATTTCTATATATTTATGCGAAAAGCTCTCCTTTATTTTTACAAAATATACTTACAAAGAATAATAACTATTGTTACCATGGTCACTATTAATGCCAAACAGATAATTCCCAGGATGCCAGCAATGAGCTTCTCTGGAGGTGACGATAAATCTATAAGAAAAGAAATAAAAACACAGAGAAAAGAGAGATGGAGATAGTTATTGACAAGATTTGTAGACAAGAGAACCCACATACATAAGAATCATATAGGTAAACTTGGACCCCAAACTGCGTAATTCACAATAATGTTTTTCTTAGAGTGTACCATTGCCTTTTGAGTAAATATAATGCTCTGTGATTTGCTGGAAAAAAACTACAGATTTCAACAATTTTCAGGTAAAAATAGCAGCCATATTTCATTTTAAAATAGCATAACTCATCTTGGATCTGTGATATTAACAAATAAAAAATATGTGAACACTACCTGCTCTTTTCCCATATCCTGTTACCCAAGCTGCTCATTCTGGACAATTATATTGGGGATCTTTGAAATGCCTTACCTTTACTGTGGAAAGTTTTGTCATTGTCTAGAAGATCCTGAGAAGCAGTTTGAAGGCTTAATTCCGCATAGGTTATTTCCTGTTCAGTTACTAAAATGGAGCTTTTATTGCTCTTAGAGTTTCTCTCCTGGCTCTTCGGGTTTTGGGGCAAATTCAGTTCTGAGTAGATTATTCTGTGATTATTCATTTTTCTTGCTGTGTGTTATCAGGAACTCTTCGGTATAATAACAGTGCTTAAGAGGTTAATACATAGTTTATGATGACAACGTGTCTAGCACAGTCAAAAGTAGCAATATGGAGAGAAAGTACCGATACTTAATTTTCATTGAAGAATCAATAGTTTTTACTCTAATTTCCTTAGAATTAAACAAATTTCTTATAGAAAAATTTATTTTTTTAAAGGTTTATATTTTTGACAAAATATTATTGCTGGGGCAATGAAAAGCAATAAATTAGTAAACTAAAAAAGAAATTCATGTATTAAAATATATGCATTAGTTAAGTCTTATTCACAAATATATTTTAATGTCAATACAAGACAATACTTGTATTAAAATTTTTAATATAGTTTATAGTAATTTTGAAATCCAAAGTTTGTTAGGACTTGTGTGTACATGGAAAACATGAATGTTGACATATATATTATAATTTTGCTAATCAACTTTTATTTGATAGCTTACAATCATTTATTGCAATGAATTAATTGTTACAAAATCAGTTTTTTTTAAAGACTGGTGTGTTCTGATAAATTATTAAGAATGTAACAATTTTTATATTTTGGAAAATATTACATGACATAATAAACATGCATAACAGTATTGGAGAGATTAAAACTTTAAAAAATACTTATTTAGCCGGGCTTGGTGGCTCAGCCTGTAATCCCGCGCCTTTGGGAGGCTGAGGTGAGTGAATTACCTGAGCCCGAGGGTTC